TGAGATGGATTGACACAAGGGCTGCAACAATGGACTCAAACATTCCAACAACCATGAAGATGGCGAAGGACCAGTCAATGTTTTGTTCTGTTGTATATGAGTCCCATGAGTCAGAGCCAACTCAACAACAACTTACAACAACAGAAAGTTCTAGTGGACAATGCTGTTTTAGAGAGATCATAATTTTTGTACTTCCATAATCAATCTCTCTACTCCTGTATCAGCATTGAGTTTTATGATTTTTTAAAGCTTTCTTAATTTGAGAAGTGAAAAAAAGGGAGTCTCAATTTAGGTTATAATTATTATTTCTGACTAGAATTGACCATTTTGCCAGCCAGTTATATTCCCTGTAGTAGCTGTCTGCTTTTGCCAGTCTAGATAATTTTTCTTATAGATCTAGATGTGTTTGGCAAGATACCCTAAGGAGCTATGTGTCATGTTCTCATCTCCATGGCCATGCCCTAGACAGAGTGTATGACGCCTCTACCGTGAAAATATGGAAACATTCTTTCCAAATAATGTTAACAGTTGGCCACACGCAGGTTTCTGGTAGCCTTTCTTCCCCTTTGTCTTTCCTCTGGTGTTCTGAGTGTTTGTGTTTCGTTTCCTACCTATCTTATTTTGGCTTAGTGAAGATGCGGCCGGGGATGTTTCCCTACCTTCCAATACATGCCCACACTGCGCTCCTCCCTGCTCCTGTACACCGTCACCCCAATAGTGCCCTGACCCCGTGCGTACCTATTGAATACTTACTATTTAATGAAATGCCACACGTTTGGAAGGGTAGAGAGGAAAGGTGAAAAAATATCTAATTTTATTTTTAATGGAAAACTTGGTTTCAGTAGTGGAGCTTGTTGTTATTGTTAGGTGCCATTGAGTCAGTTCCGACTCATAGCAACCCTATGCACAACAGAACAAAACACTGCCCGGCCCTGCCCCATCTTCACAATCGTTGCAATGTTGCAGCCCATTGCTGCAGCCACTGTTGTCAATCCATCTCTTCATGGGTCTTCCTCTTTTTCGCTGACCTTCCACCTTACCAAGCATGATGTCCTTCTCCAGGGACTGGTTGGTCCCTCCTGATAACATGGGGCTTATTTAAATTAATATGAAATGTTTGCTCCCCAGATGAAAACGTGGTCTTACAAAATGGTCTCAACTTCACTGGATTTATTTCAGTTTTCCATTCCTTGGTTGACAACTGTGAAATAGGAAACGAAATATTGTCGAAGTTAACTATGAATAATGTCTGAGGCAGACAAGTATCTGTGCTTCAGTCCCTTCTCTCCCTTCGCCTTAATCCCAAGCAACAGTAAAAACGAATCCATAGAACCATCTAGGGATGACAAAGGTGGAAGGTGATATTGTTTTTACCCACAGGAAAAAAAAAAAAATTAGGATTCTTGATTGGTGTCTAACATTTGTTTATGCTTATCAATCTGCCTGGGGACCTTCAGAACCCATCACAGACAACATCCCTAAAAAATGTTGCCTAAATTTAATCGACAGCAAACAGCCTTCAGCAGACAAAGTATGCTGGGTAAAAGCAACCCCCTTTCCACTCCCCACAGTGAGGCCAGAATTGATCTCACGAGCTAAAGTGGACCTAAAAAACACATCTGTAAGCATTTCCTTCCTCTACAATGACAATAAAAATGGACACTGTTAGGACTGTAATTAAGATGGGAATTGAAGGCCAATAAGAACATTTAGCATCTAGCGCCACCCTGTGGTGAAGCATCCAAGTTCAGGGCCCCTTCAAAGACCCCAAGATTGAAAATGAATAATGAGGCTTCTTGAAGAGGAATTGGCTTGTGAGCTATCTCCACCATTTGAACTTAACAATAATCATGGAAGAGGTTAATTTCTTAGGAAATACAAACTAATAAATAATTGGCACTTGACTGGTGCTTTGTAATAAACAAACACTCCTATGTGAATGATCTTATTTAATCCTGGAGCAGTCCTGTGCTTTAGGTACTAGAATCTCAGTCTTAGAGACATGAAGACTGAGGTTCAGGGGGGGTTGGCAACTTGTATTGGGCAAGTCCTGGGCTTGAATCCATATGGTCATACTCCAAATCCTGTAATGTAGTATTATTAGTACTACAGTATATAGTCCATATATAGAGCTCATATGCAGTATATATGCTATACAATATACTATGAGCCCTTGGGTGGTGCAAATCATTAATACATTTGGCTGCTAACCAAAAGGTTAGAGGTTCGAGCCCACCCAGAGGAGCCTTGAAAGAGAGGCCTGGTAATCTACTTCCAAAAGATCAGCCACTGAAAACCCTATGGAATACAGTTCTACTCTGACACACATGGGGTTGCCATGAGTTAGAACTGTGGTACTGGTATACTGTACTATACTACACTATAGTACTCAGTATTTCTATAGTACAGTACTGTTAACAATACTCACTACCTTTCTAGGGGCACTGTTTTCTGTTTGTGAAGACAAGGCAATGCTGATTGACTCTTTCTAGTCTAGTGAGCCCTGGTGGCCCAGTGGTTAAAAACTCGGCTGCTAACCAAAGAGTGGTAGTTCGAATTACCAGCCACTCTTTGGAAACTCTATAGGGCAGTTCTACTCTGTCTTATAGGATTGCTATGAGTCAGAATCAACTCAATGGCAACGGGTTTGCTTTTTTTGTTTGTTTTTCTAGTCTATATGATTTCACAAATGTGGATTCAATCAGTTTTGCTACTAAATCAGCAAACAGTGGTCTTGCTTCCCTGGGTCCCTGGGCACCCAAACGGTGGGAGAAGCTGCTCCTCTGCCATCTTAATTGGTGTGCACGAATGGAGGTATTATGATCCACACAATCAAATGCCTTTGCATAGTCAATAAAACACAGGTAAACATTTTTCTGGTATTCTCTGCTTTCAGCTAGGATCCATCTGACATCAGCTATGATATCCCTCGCTCCACGGCCTCTTCTGAATCCAGCTTGAATTTCTGGCAGTTCCCTGTCGATATACTGCTACAGTGATTTTTGAATGATCTTCAGCAAAATTTTACCTGCACGTAATATTAATGATATTGTTTGATAATTTCTGCATGCAACTGGATCATCTTTCTTAGGAATAGGCATAAATATGGATGTCTTCCAGTCAGTTGGCCAGGTAGCTGTCTTCCAAATTTCATAGCATAGACAAGTGAGCACTTCCAGCACTACATCTGTTTGCTGAAAACATCTCAATTGGTATTCCGTCAATTCCCGGAGCCTTGTTTTTCACCAATGCCTTCAGTGCAGCTTGGACTTCCTCCTTCAGTACCATCAGTTTCTGATCATATGCTACCTCCTGAAATGGCTGAATGTCGACCAATTTTTTTTTGGTACAGTGACTCTGTGTATTCCATCTTCTTTTGATGCTTCCTGCATCCTTCAATATTTTCCCCGTAGAATCCTTCAATATTGCAACTTGAGGCTTGAATCTTCTCTTCACTTCTTTCAGTTTGAGAAATGTCAAGTGTGTTCTTCCCTTTTGGTTTGCTATCTCCAGGTCTTTGCACATGTCATTATAATACTTTACTTTGTCTTCTTTGAAATCTTCTGTTCAGCTCTTTCACTTCATCAGTTCTTCCTTTCGCTTTAGCTACTCGACGGTCAACAGCAAATTTCAGACTCTCTTCGGACATCCATTTTGGTCTTTTCTTTCTTTCCTGTCTTCTTAAAGACCTCTTGCTTTCTTCGTGTATGATGTCCTTGATGTCATTCCACAACTCATCTGGCCTTCGGTCATTAGTGTTCAATGCAACAAATCTATTCCTGAGATGGTCTCTACATTCAGGTGGGATTCAGTTTCAACACCTAGGGAAGCAGCAGTCAAGAAAGCAAAAGATGCCTTGCATTGGGCAAATCTGCTGCAAAGGACCTCTTTAAAGTGTTAAAAAAAAAAAAGCAAAGATGTCATCTTGAAGACTAAGGCGTGCCTGACCCAAACCATGGTGTTTTCAATCGCCTCATATGCATGCGAAAGCCAGACGATGAATAAGAAGACTGAAGATTTGATGCCTTTGAATTGTGGTGTTGGCAAAGAATATCGAACATACCATGGACTGCCAAAAGAATGAACACATCTGTTTTGGAAGAAGTACAACCAGAATGCTCCTTGAACTTTGGATGTGTTACCAGGAGGGATCAGTCCCTGGAGAAGGACATCGTGCTTGGTAAAGTAGAGGGTCAGTGAAAAAGAAGACCCTCAAGGAGATGGACTGACACAGTCCTGCAAAAATGGGCTCAAGCATAATAACGATTGTGAGGATGGTACAGGACCCAGCAGTGTTATGCTCTGTTGTACAGTGTCGCTATGAGTCGGAACCAACTCCACGACACCTAACAACAACAACAGAGGTGTGGCCAGGGAGAATGGACACAAGGACACATGCAGTGGGGCTGAAGCCACGTTATTATGCTCAGCCTTTTTTTTCTCTATTTCTTTGAAATTTGTTAAATGAGTCCACTTGCTCATAGCTAGAACCTTGATGGACTGTCACTTCATTCATTTAACTAGAAATATATTTTACAACCACTATATCTTAGTCTCTGGGTGGCGCAAATAGTTAAGCGCTTGTCTACTAACAGAAGGGTTTATGGTTTAAAACCACCCAGAGACACCTCGGGAGAAAGACTTGGAGATCTGCTTCTGAAAGGTCACAGTCATTGAAAACCCTATGGAGCACAGTTCTACTCTGACACACATAGGGTAGGCATGAGTAGGAACTGACTTCATGGCAACTTTTTTTTAATCTCAAAGTTACCTCGCTCAGTGCCAGAGGTGGGCATGTCATTATACTAGCTTTACAGATTACAAGTGAAAACGTTTGCTGTCAGGTTTTATGGGGTAATAACTTGGGGCCACAATTGCTCCTGTGGGCAGAGACAGGATAGCAAGGCCACTGTGGATGGAGGATTGCCGGAAAGAAAAACAGTCCATCAAGCTTCCAAGGATTCTAATGCCCACCAGGACCATCTCCTTTCAGTCCTCTCCACCTACAGATAAAGTATGTTATGGACTAGCCCTTTGGGCTTATATCTACATTAAGTAACTTTATCAAAAACAAGTAGTTGTATTTGTTATTGGTGATGCCATTAGAAGCGTGATTTGCTGTTTTACAGTGTTCTGTGGGGCACTGGAGGGAAAGATTCCCCAGATCTCAAGACCAGGAGTAGCTGCTTCAGGTTTATTTTAAGGAATTCAGACTTGTATAGCAGATCTTGTTTCTTCTTTACACTGACCAGTAGGCAGTCAAATTCGTACTTTATCTCCAAGTGTACAAGAATTCAAGTAGTGTAGTTTGTGTGATAAGCTTATTTTTCAGCTTTTTTCCTTTACTCTAATTTCCTTGAACGCAATCATCTTGTAATTTATGTATTTTTTTGGGAAGAACTAAAGAATAGAAGAGAAAAAACTACTCTACAGTGTCAGAAGTCACAATAGTTGTGATCACTGGAGAGACAGACTGGAAGGAATCCCAGGGGGCTTCCGGGGTGATGTCATGTTGTTTCTTGATCTGAATGCTGGTTACACAGGTGTGCTCACTCTGTGAAGTCATAAACTAAACACGTGACTTGTACACTTCTCTGCATGTATATTAAACTTAATAAAATGTTATAAAAAATAAGAGAAGATTGAAGGAAATGGCACTATGTGTATTAAGGGTCTACTATATGCCCCCAAATTATATATATTTACTTCCTTTAACCCTCAAAACAGTTAGGTCAGTAGTTATCCTCGTTTTACAAATGTAGAATCTCTGAGTTTCAAACAGGTTAAGGGATGAGGCAGAGTTCCAATGGTGCCTTTCTGATAATGAAGCCATGCTTACCCTCTTCCACCACACTGCTCCCACTTTCCTACTTTAAATATCTGGCTGTCTTTACTCAGCTCAGCCACTAAAGTCTGAGCACTATCAGTCAGACCACAGTGAAAGGGTTTCTGTGGAGGGGCATTCAGCAGCGTTCTGGAGCTGAGGCTGGGTGGGGGTTCGTTTGTGGAGGAGGCTTACAGGAAGGAGCCCTGGCCTGGAAGTGAGAGCCTGGGCTGGTCCTTGCTCTCCCCTAACTGCTCTGGGTCAAGGCTAAAAGGAATGTTGCTCTGTGAGGAGGCCCATGAGCCTCCCTCTAGACTCACCTTCTCTATAAGTTGATTTCCAAATAAAGCACTGCAAAGGACAAACTCTGTACTATTCCTCATCATGTTGCTCTTCCTTGTTACAGACATCTTCCAGCCCCCAAAGGAAGGGGAGAGAACGCACAAAACAAGCAGGGGTTCCTCTTGCTTGCTCTATCCAGGATTGCTCAGGCCCCTGCTCACCCCACCCCCTTCCAAGGAGAAGTCAAGGACAGATGGCAGAGAGTTAAGATACAATACCCAGTAAGCATACTGTCAAAGCTGCGCTGGCTGTCTCTCTTCTCTTCTGGAGCCAGAAGGATTTGATTGTTCAGAACTGCTGTGACCATTTCCCAGCCTCCTCCCCACTGGGGGCCCCTCCTCTATAGGTGTGGTTGGGGTTGAAGGGCCCTAGCTTGCTGTATGCGCAGTCCACAAGTCAATGTACTCAAGACAATGCTCTCATAAACAGCTTTCTGCAGAAAGGAAAACATAAAGGCTTACAGGATCAACTTTTGTTAGCAGGCAAACAGAACTTTGATTTTATTTCATAAAATAAAAGTCATTATATGGTGTTCAGCTCAGGAAACAGGTCAGCAGACCAATTCAGGGTATTCCCCATACTCTACCATACCACCAGCTATCTGGTTTTTGCCTCGTCATTTACCCTCTAGCCACGGTTTCCTCATTTCCAGACAGAGAGCTGGGAGAGTCCATTCTAATGCCCCTCTCAGCTCTGAAGTTCAACTCTAGACTAGACATCCACTGTGTTGGAGACAGGGCATTAGACAGACGGGGAAAAGGTGGTGGCCTTCCCCTCCCCTTCCCAGCGACTTGCCCAATTATGGAGGGTCTCAGAATCAGGCAGCATGGTGAATTCTTGACCAGAGACACTGCAAAACTGGTATTTGTGGTACACTGGTCTTGAAGAGGTACATAAATGAAATGAAGGGGGAGGAAAATGGGCAAATATGAGACACTGGAAAAACAGAAGGGCACATTTTTATCCTACAGGGTAAAAAATCCATCAGGATGTGCTATCTTAGTCCATCTGGCCTCATTTCTCACAGGGTTGTCTGACACGCTGCGTGAAGGCACACTTACAGAGTCATTGAGCAATGACAGGGACCTCCAAGTCCTGCGGGGCCCTTATTCTTTCCTTCATGGAATTTCACAGTCCAATGACATGGCTAAATTGTTATCCCATAAAGCTTTCTTCACTTTTTAGGCCTTGCGGTTTTATTTGCACAAACACACAACTTTTTAATACAAAAATTATATATACTTATTTTTAAAAACATTAAAATATAAAAGTATACAAAGTAAAAAGACTGATTTTAAACTTTTCTCTTCAAGGGGAAGCACAAGTGTCCACCTCGCGAAAGATCAGGACTTGTGACCCAGGGCCAGGGTCATGGGAGGTGGGTGCTGAGTTCTTTGGAGGCTTCCGGAATTTGCTCTGAAGGAAAACTCTGGGCACACACAGACCTTCTTTTTTATTCACAGTCTCTCGAAACACATACTCGTTTACCACTTCTTCATAACCCGTGTCCATAAAGAGCTGAGCCAGGAATTCTGGAAGAGAAGCAGGTCGACAGTGCTCAAAGTCTTAATGATGAGACATTTGCCCCACAGTGGGTAAGGAGGGGTACAGGGCTGAGACTGAAATAAATAAATAAATATATCTATATATCTATATATCTATATCTATATCTATATCTATATCTTAATGTAATGGAAATTTCCATGCTACAATTTAAAGGTTTTGTTTCCTTGGAGCCGGAAACTAACACACTCCTATTTCTTACATATCACCTTACACCAAAGTAGAAACCTCCAATTAAACACAATTTAATCAGAAAAGTTTAAGGACAAACTGGAGGGTGCGCACCTTGCCCTACTATGAGCCCCAAACATAAAAGTCTGAGTAAAAAGAAGCAAAATCCCTAAACTGGCTGTATTTATACAAGGTCTGCATATGCTCAATTTGTTTACACTGAGGACATTTATCCTAATACAAAGGAGGAAAATCTATGACCAGAGGGGAGAAACATCACCTGATGGTGTTACACCCACAGTAAACTTCAACTCAAATAATACATCACTACACGTTAAACAAAACAAATACAACAAAAGCTATGTGGCCCAAATAAAGACTCTTACTGAGTCCATTACTCCAAAGAATGTGCTCTGAAGTACTTTGCAGATATCAGTGTCTCTTCTCAATTATTTACTATTGATTTAATCAGATTTTACAAATCAGAAACATTAAAACATATTTTTAATTTTCATCTTATTTTTTTTTAAATTTTTTTATTGTACTATAGGTGAAGGTTTACAGACCAAATAGTTTCTCATTACACAATATGCGTATTGCTTTATGACATTGGTTAACAAACCCACAACATGTCAACACTCTCCCTGCTTGACCTTGGAGGACCTTTTTCATTTTTCGGTGAAAATATACATAGTCAAAGATATACCATTTCAAAAATTTCTAAATGTTCAATTCAGTGACATCAATTACGTTCTTCCAGTTGTGCTGCTATTCTCACTATCTTTTTCCAAATTATTCCATCACCATTACCTGCAACTCACTGCCCCCTAGGCTCCCCATCAGACCTTTTGAGTTGCTGTTGTCAATTTGATCTCACACAGATAATTTTTTTTTTTTT